AATTTGGCAGGGAAAAGAAGCAGAGGTGAAATTTGGCGGGGAATAGAAGCAGGGGTGAAATTTGGCGGGGAATAGAAGCAGGGGTGAAATTTGGCAGGGAATAGAAGCAGCGGTGAAATTTGGCGGGGAATAGAAGCAGGGGTGAAATTTGGCAGGGAATAGAAGCAGAGGTGAAATTTGGCGGGGAATAGAAGCAGGGGTGAAATTTGGCGGCAAATAGAAGCAAGGGTGAATTTTGGCGGGGAATAGAAGCAGGGGTGAAATTTGGCAGGGAATAGAAGCAGGGGTGAAATTTGACGGGGAATACAAGCAGGGGTGAAATTTGGCAGGGAATAGAAGCAAGGGTGAAATTTGGCGGGGAATAGAAGCGGGGGGGGGATTTGGTGGTGAATAGAAGCAGGGGTAAAATTTGGCGGTTAATTGAAGCAGGGGTGAAATTCGGCGGGGAATAGAAGGGAGGGGGGATTTGGTGGTAAATAGAAGCAGGGGTAAAATTTTGCGGGGAATAGAAGCAGGGGTGAAATTTGGCGGGGAATACAAGCAGGGGTGAAATTTGGCGGGGAATAGAAGCAGGTGTGAAAATGGGGGGGGGGGGGATAGAAGCAGGGGGAAATTTGGCGGGAAATAGAAGCAGGGTTGAAATTTGGCGGGCAATAGAAGCAGGGGTGAAACTTGGCGGGGAATAGAAGCAGGGGTGAAATTTGGCGTGGAATAGAAGCAGGGGTGAATTTTGGCGAGGAATGCAAGCAGGGGTGAAATTTGGCATGGAATAGAAGCAATGGTGAAATTTGGCGGCGAATAGAAGCAGGGGTGAAATTTGGCGGGGAATAGAAGCAGGGGTGAAATTTGGCGGGGAATACAAGCAGGGGTGAAATTTGGTGGTGAATACAAGCAGTGGTGAAATTTAGCAGAAAATAGAAGTAGGGGTGGAATTTGGCGGGGAATAGAAGCAGGGGTGAAATTTGGCGGGGAACAGAAGCAGGGGTAAAATTTGGCGGTTAATAGAAGCATGGGTGAAATTAGACATGGAATAAAAGCGGGCGGGGGGGGGGATTTGGTGGTGAATAGAAGCAGGGGTAAGATTTGGTGGGAAATAGAAGCAGGGGTGAAATTTGGGGGGGGGGGAAAGAAGCAGGGGTGAAAGGGAGAGGGGGAATAGAGGCACGGGTGAAATTTGGCGGAAAATAGAAGCAGGGGGGAAATTTGGCGGGGAATAGAAGCAGGGGTGAAATTTAGCGGGGAATACAAGCAGGGGTGAAATTTGGCGGGGAATACAAGCAGGGGTGAAAAATGGGGGGGGGGAAGAAGCAGGGGTGAAATTTGGCGGGAAATAGAAGCAGTGGGGAAATTTGGCGGGGAATAGAAGCGGGGGGAGACCACAATAGAATATTCCGGCCAGCATCATGCCATGATGGATCATCTGTGTCAGAATTTATTGAAAGTACATGAGACAGAAGGCCGTGGCCAAACATTTTACCAAGGAAACTTGAAAAATTATGGATTCTCGGTTCCTAACGATAACGTGATACAAATTAAAAATGGGCGGCCCATGGATCTCGTAAACATTGTCATTGCCCTTAGAGAGATAGTACGTTCTGAGGATTTCGGAAGCAATGTGTCCACATCACTTCTAAGAATACGCGAATTGGGTGTAAAAATCGGCACAGCCAAGCATGAGAAGCACACTGGACGCACACGAAGTCTTGTTAACCAACATAGGACTGGTACCGCACGATGCTGATGAATATGTTGAGAGGGGAATCTGAGCGCCTACGGATGTGTCCGGAGTGCTGTGAAGATATTCTTACTTATAACTCATAACTCAAATTAAAATTAGAGAAAATCTCTTGCCAAACGCAGTATCACTGACACATATTTCAACAACATATTAAAGACACACACACATACACACACACACAGAGAGAAGGGGGAAAAGGGGCCGGGGGGTTGGGGGCGGATCGCATAGACCTACATCAAATACTGAAAGTAAGGGAGCTCTCCCCCGAACTTCTACCCCGGCAACATGGCGGCCAAAGAAATCCCCTAACAGGACCTCAGAACTGAAAAATGCGGACTTGTTGGACTTCCTGCCGAGGAACAAATCGCGGCAAAACTAGGATCCGCTGAATAACGAAACAAATGCTTTAACAGGGCTAAGGCCCTGTTAGGAAATTTGTTTCGCCGGGGTAGAAGTTCGGAGGAGAGCCCTAACATTATTAGCCATTTCAAACGTAGACACAAAAGTAGGGAAAATAATGTTTAAAAAAAAAAGTAAATTGTAGGTCAGTATGATACCATTGTCATCATCATCATATAGCAGATCCTTTATTAAACGTCACTCCGGTGTGTTTGTTAAGTCATGTGCCAATCTTTGTGCTGGTTAGCCTCTTCCGCTATTGTTCTATTCAGTCTATCATGACGCTGGATACGGCCAAAATAGTTCATTTTCTGAGCCAATCTTCTTTGATGATCAGATCTTTTATAATGTCAGTATTTCTTTTCTTCTTGGTCCATGGTTTTATGAGACTCGTTCTATAGAATTTCAACTAAAGTCTATATTTGTCTCCTCCTAATGATTGCGAGATAGTCCACGACTCACATCTGTGTGTTGCTAGAGGACAGGTTTATGCCCTAAACAAAAGTTGGCTACGATCTGCTTTCAGCTGAAGTAGCTAAACGTAGTTAAAGAGCATAATAATATTATTGCGTTGTATGGCAAATAAATATAATTATATACTCAAAATAATATGAAATGTAAAACAAATTCTTTTAAAGAGGATTTCTAAACATGGTTAAAATGGTCGATTAGCCCAGTTACTGGGGGAGAGCTTCACAACCCTAGAGATTGGGCACTCATACAAATTGGTTGCTGATCGTAGCTATTGCCACTAGTGCCAGCCTCTTTTATACTAGCACATAAAGCAACTCCGTGACACTCTGTAAAGCCATCTAGCATTCTCTCCACCGTGCCACTCTGTAAAGCCCTCCAACATTCTCTCCGCCGTGCCACTCTGTAGAGCCATCCAGTATTCTCTCCATCGTGCCACTCTGTAGAGCCATCCAACATTCTCTCCGCCGTGCCACTCTGTAGAGCCATCCAGTATTCTCTCCACCGTGCCACTCTGTAAAGCCATCCAGTATTCTCTCCACCGTTCCACTCTGTAAAGCCATCCAGTATTCTCTCCACCGTGCCACCCTGTAAAGCCATCCAACATTGTCTCCACCGTGCCACTCTGTAAAGCCATCCAGCATTGTCTCCACCGTGCCACTCTGTAAAGCCATCCAGCATTGTCTCCACGGTGCCACTCTGTAAAGCCATCCAGTATTCTCTCCACCGTGCCAATCTGTAAAGCCATCCAGTATTCTCTCCACCGTGCCACTCTGTAAAGCCATCCAGCATTGTCTCCACCGTGCCACTCTGTAAAGCCATCCAGTATTCTCTCCACCGTGCCACTCTGTAAAGCCATCCAGTATTCTCTCCACAGTGCCACTCTGTAAAGCCATTCAGCATTGTCTCCACCGTGCCACTCTGTAAAGCCATCCAGTATTCTCTCCACAGTGCCACTCTGTAAAGCCATCCAGTATTCTCTCCACCGTGCCACTCTGTAAAGCCATTCAGCATTGTCTCCACCGTGCCACTCTGTAAAGCCATCCACATCTCTAATTGTGTCCAACATACCCACATCTCTAATTGTGTCCAGCATAAACACATCTCTAATTGTGTCCAACATACCTACATCTCTAATTGTGTCCAACATACCCACATCTCTAATTGTGTCCAGCATACACACATTTCTAATTGTGACCAGCATACATACATCTCTAATTGTGTCCAGCATACCCACATCTCTAATTGTGTCCAGCATAAACACATCTCTAATTGTGTCCAACATACACACATCTATAATTGTGTCCAGCATACATACATTTCTAATTGTGTCCAGCATACATACATCTCTAATTGTGTCCAGCATACACACATCTCTAATTGTGTCCAGCATACACACATCTCTATTTGTGTCCAGCATACACACATCTCTATTTGTGTCCAGCATAAACACATCTCTAATGTGTCCAACATACCCACATCTCTAATTGTGTCCAGTATACCCACATCTCTAATTGTGTCCAGCATACCCACATCTCTAATTGTGTCCAGCATAAACACATCTCTAATGTGTCCAACATACCCACATCTCTAATTGTGTCCAGCATACCCACATCTCTAATTGTGTCCAGCATACCCACATCTCTATTTGTGTCCAGCATACCCACATCTCTAATTGTGTCCAACATACCCACATCTCTATTTGTGTCCAGCATACCCACATCTCTAATTGTGTCCAACATACCCACATCTCTAATTGTGTCCAGCATACCCACATCTCTAATTGTGTCCAACATACCCACATCTCTATTTGTGTCCAGCATACACACATCTCTAATTGTGTCCAGCATACACAAATCTCTAATTGTGTCCAACATACCCACATCTCTAATTGTGTCCAACATACCCACATCTCTAATTGTGTCCAGCATACATACATCTCTAATTGTGTCCAGCATACACACATCTCTAATTGTGTCCAGCATACACACATCTCTAATTGTGTCCAGCATACACACATCTCTAATTGTGTCCAGCATACACACATCTCTAATTGTGTCCAACATACACACATCTCTAATTGTGTCCAACATACACACATCTCTAATTGTGTCCAGCATACATACATCTCTAATTGTGTCCAGTATACATACATCTCTAATTGTGTCCAGCATACACACATCTCTAATTGTGTCCAACATACACACATCTCTAATTGTGTCCAACATACACATATCTCTAATTGTGTCCAGCATACTCGCATCTCTAATTGTGTCCAGCATACACACATCTCTAGTTGTGTCCAACATACACACATCTCTAATTGTGTCCAGCATACACACATCTCTAATTGTGTCCAGCATACACACATCTCTAATTGTGTCCAACATACTCACATCTCTAATTGTGTCCAGCATACACACATCTCTAATTGTGTCCACCATACACACATCTCTAATTGTGTCCAGCATACACACATCTCTAATTGTGTCCAACATACACACATCTCTAATTGTGTCCAACATACCCACATCTCTAATTGTGTCCACCATACCCACATCTCTAATTGTGTCCAGCATACTCGCAACTCTAATTGTGTCCAGCATACATACATCTCTAATTGTGTCCAGCATACACACATCTCTATTTGTGTCCAGCATACATACATCTCTATTTGTGTCCAGCATACACACATCTCTATTTGTGTCCAACATACACACATCTCTAATTGTGTCCAGCATACATACATCTCTATTTGTGTCCAGCATACATACATCTCTAATTGTGTCCAGCATACACACATCTCTATTTGTGTCCAGCATACATACATCTCTATTTGTGTCCAGCATACATACATCTCTAATTGTGTCCAGCATACACACATCTCTATTTGTGTCCAGCATACATACATCTCTAATTGTGTCCAACATACCCACATCTCTAATTGTGTCCAACATACCCACATCTCTAATTGTGTCCAACATACCCACATCTCTAATTGTGTCCAGCATACCCACATCTCTAATTGTGTCCAACATACCCACATCTCTAATTGTGTCCAACATACCCACATCTCTATTTGTGTCCAGTTCACATACATCTCTATTTGTGTCCAACATACACACATCTCTAATTGTGTCCAGCATACACACATCTCTATTTGTGTCCAGCATACATACATCTCTATTTGTGTCCAACATACACACATCTCTAATTGTGTCCAGCATACCCACATCTCTAATTGTGTCCAGCATACACACATCTCTATTTGTGTCCAGCATACATACATCTCTATTTGTGTCCAACATACACACATCTCTAATTGTGTCCAGCATACACACATCTCTATTTGTGTCCAGCATACACACATCTCTATTTGTGTCCAACATACACACATCTCTAATTGTGTCCAGCATACACACATCTCTAATTGTGTCCAGCATACTCGCATCTCTAATTGTGTCCAGCATTTCATCATCATCATCATGTAGCAGGTCCTTTGCAGAACGTTGCTCTCATCACGGTCTGCCTAAAAGAAACATCGGTCTCTCGCCAGTTCTCCCGCCTCAGGTACTTTCGTGCAATGAGTCACTTATATCCTGTGCCAATCTTCGTGTTGGTCGGCCCCTGCCCCTCCTTCCTGGTACCATGCCTTCTGCTTTAATTTTTTCTAATCCATCGTGGCGCTTGATATGACGACATTTTTCACCTTCCTAGACGGGATGCTGTTTATTAGCCAATCTTCCTTGATGTTCAGATCTTTTAAGATGTCCGCATTTCACCTCTTTTTGGTCCAAGATATTCTGAGAATGTCCAGCATACACACATCTTTATGCCCCCCCCCTACCGTACACACGCCTCTAATTGTGACCAGTATATTACGTCTCTGTATCTAGCATACAAACATCTCTAATTTTGTTTTATGCTTGTGCCATCCAAGACTTCACTAAACCAGGCTGTGTGACCCTTAGCCGTTGTCTAAACGTAGCAGAAGCATTAACTGTGACAGACGGAGCCCTGTAATAACCTTTTTTCGATTTCTCTGTTTTGCTTTTTATTACTGTCATTCCTGACAACGTCTTTTTACACAAATAGGAAGTTGAACAAACAACCAGTAATCTCATTGCTCTATAACTCAGACATTGATATAATTTTTTTTCAAATGATATCCAAAACACAGACTGGATATCACAGACTGTATATCACAGATATCCTGGACTGACATCAGAAGACGTTTCTTTCTCGTGAAAATCCATGTGTCTATCTTACGTCTTTAACTGCTGAGATGTTATGTTGAATATCACTTGTGCCTGTTTGATTCTCATCCTTGGGGTGTTAATCCCACAGGCTACAATCCTGGCAGGGAAAAACTGCATACGTTATCGTTACACGAGGAGGTAGACATCATTGGCGGCCCACCTGTGGCGCACCAGCGGGCAGCGGCGCAAGGCTTGAAGAACACTGGCCTGAGCGATGCGTAACCTGAGAGAAAAACTCTCGCGCGCGCACACACACACACACTCACAATCGCATACACACGCACACACACACACGCACGCACGCGCGCACACACACACACGGCAGATACAAGAGCAAAAGGGAAGCAAAACATGCAGGCTAAAAGGAAGATCACTTTCGTAACCAACTCAGTGACTTTGATAAATAATAATTGTTCTATTTCAAACATTTAATAGGAAACTGAGATAGCACCTATATAACTACAGTTAGAAACGTTCATGAGCCCACCTATGTCCGTTCTATTTCATGCCATTTGAACGAGATAATTACGTAAGATACTGAACAATCTAACGATGCTACAGCTTTCTTCCAAGTTGTTTGAGTGTTAAAGGTTTATTGGGAAAAGGGAGAAGACATTCATCATCATCATCAGGTGCCTTGCCGACTGGTGTGGGCAATCATGCCTCTCCATAATCTGCGATCTCCTGCAGCATGTATCAGTTCGTGTGCCGACACACCTCCATGCCATGCAACAAGACTGTCAAGCATCTTCTCTCGTTGTCTTCCTCTATCTCTCCTTCCACAGATCTTTCCAGTGGTCACAACATATTCCATTTTCCCTCTTCTCATAACATGGCCGAAAAATGATGACTGTCTCCTTCTGATGTCTGTGATAAGTTGTCTTCGGGCTTCCGCCCCTTTCAAAATCTCTTGGTTGCTCTTTTTGGCTGTCCAAGGTATTCTAAGCATTCTTCTGTAAAACCACATCTCTGAGGCCTCTAAAAATTGTTTGGCCTGCCTACCGATTCACAGCCATATGTTAAAACTGGATGTATTTAGCAAGCAAGAATTATTTTTCTAACTCTCAATGACAAGGATATTGCACAAGATGTTTTTATTTTATAAAATGCCGTTTTTGCCTGTCCAATTCTGTTTCTTATTTCAGTTATGCATCTTCCATGTGCCCAGATACTTAAATTTCTGTACTTGTCCTAAAATAACACCATTGACTTTTATTACACGTTTAGGGATAATTTGTTTTTCTTTGATACCATCATTACTTCTGTCTTTCCATTATTCAAACTAAATCCTATATTTAATAAGTTAACTATAGCCTCTATACTTATGAGATATACCACTATGATTTTAACACACTTAAGGCAAACTAATCACATATATGATTGTAGTCGTTAGTGTTTTGAAGCAGTTTGTTATGTTAAATGTAGATTTTGTGAGTGTAGTAGTCTGTATCGCAAATGATAGCCTCTTGTTGATTATGGTCGTATGTTAGTTAGCTATCTGTTGTGGGATGCCATTTTTTGTTATTTGAAGCCCTATCCTGGATTTTGCCTGGCCTAGCCACAGGTATGGCCATAACGGCTGAAAGGGGTTTCTGGGACCTCTCCACATGTGATCCTCATCCGCATGGTGGCACTTTGTGTCACCGGGTGTTTATCGCTTGTGTGATGTCCTGGTGGAGTGCAGCAAGCAATCTGTATGTCAGTTATTAAATTTAAAAAAATTGAAAAGAAATAAAAAGTTGGGTGTCACGAGCAAACACATCAGCAGCAACATTACTTGTATGAAGTTTAATCTGACAGCGACAGTCCAGTTCCATTTGAGCTTATATCCAGCCATCATTAATTTGTGTATGTTATATCGGTGTGACAGTGCAGTTGTTGAATCAACATATATATATATATATATAGTTTGCTTATGTCATCACAGATACGATGGCCGAAGAGGAAATTGATTTCTTCAAACCGCATCCCCATCCTACCAAACCCAGAGTGAAAACTTCTTTCTTTGAAGTGGTACCAGATGCCTTTGATGACAAAAGCCTGAACTTTACGGGTGACCACAGGAGAGTCAAGAAGAAGGTAAGTAAGACAAAATCTAACATGACTTGAGCCTGAAGTCACATTTTCTTACATGAAATATAATTAGTGCCTTGTAGGTCAGTTCCACTACGATAAATGATGATTCCACAGTTGTAGACCACATTTCGCTCATGCCAGCTGAAACTACTGGTAACTAAAGCTAGGTAGAAAAACACCTTCGAATTCAGACAAGAGGCACCACTAGATTGCAGAAAAAAATAATTACATGATACGGTGTTCCAAGAAGAAGTAGATAAATATACTGATGAAGAATGTACAATTTATTTACACTGCTTCTGTCTGGCATGATAAAATGAAAGATGATGAAGGGGCTTTTCTTAATGTCGCTATATAAAGCAAACAAGCAAGTATTCACAACTATTTCAGACTTTCACCTCCTTTTAGACTGTGTTCAATGCTCCCCTCCCCCCCCCCCCCCCAAACTAAAAAAAAAAAAAAAAAAAAAAAAAAAAAAAGACAGGAATAGATATTCAAAATTTGGGCAATGTGTTTAACCTATGAAATAAGACTAAAGCTTCCGCCATTCCATTCATAGTAACTAGTAGTATTCTGACCCTGTTTGATCAGGGTGCTTTCATCCTTTAGGAGTTTCAGTCCTTCAGGAGTTTCCCCAAAGCTAGAGTGACAACCCCTGTGGGCGCTGGAACGGTCCAGGGGTGACGTTGATAGCAACTACGAGTGCAAACTGGGCGCTGAATGGGTCCGAGGTTGGGGGGGGGGGGGGTTGAGTCTGTGGGGCGGTGTGTCAGTTGGGGAGCCGTGAAATAAAAATAATGGTCCTAGGAGTATTTAAAAAGAACACTTTTTTGAAAAACGTTGGAATCTGTTTTTCTGTTTTACCTGTTGTTAAATATATTTAACCTTGCAGTGATTTGAGTTTTGAAAACCAATATCATTGCAGTCGGGACATTCCCATAAGCGCTCCGTTCCATCTGCAGCAGGCATTGAAGAGTTTCAACTCCGATGTTATCTATAAGTCTTGTTGTAAGTGCATCTTGCGTTTCCTCCTAATGTGGAGTGTCGACCAGATTTCATAGTCACTCCCAGTTGCACCATTCATTTCTTCTTCTTCTTCTTTCTTCTTTTCTTCGTCTCACTTATACCAGTTTGTAGATCAGTGTCGTGGCTTTCTGTATTTGTCTTGCACTTTTTTGCAGATTTTAGTTACACCATTTATCCACTTCTTTCTTGGTCTTCCTCTCGGATTCCTGCTAGACGTTTTACTGTAAAAAGTCTCATATGCGGTCTGGTCTGGCTGCATTCTCACTAGATGGCCGAACCATGTCGTTCTTTGTCAATATAATCCAGACATAGTCTTTTTCCAATTTTCTCTCTAATGCTGGTATTCGTAACCCTGTCTCGTCTAGTATTGTTAGTGACCCTGTGGAGACAGCACATTTCACATGTATTTATTTTCTGTTCTAGTGCCCTATTCATTGTCCATGTTTGGCACTGATAACATAAAGTAGGGATAAAGATGCTTATAATCATTTGCTGTTTTGCTGGAAGGGAGACTTTTGGGTGTTTAAGCAGTGGGGGAACTGGTGGGTGACAGCATTTGCCTTCGGTACTCTGACTTCTATCTCTCTATAGAATCTGTCATCCT